CCTTTCACAGGGGTCGCCTAAAGCCATCGGAAAACACATAATTACATTTTGTTTTTGTGATTAATCACTATGCTTTAATTATGTTCAATTTGTAACAATGCAAATACATCCTGCATATCAGATATTTACATTACGATTCATAACAGTAGCAAAATTACAGTTATGAAGTAGCAACAAAAATAATTTTATGGTTGGAGGTCACCACAACATGAGGAACTGTATTAAAGGCTCATGGCATTAGGAAGGTTGAGAACCAGTACACTAAGTGATATGTCTTGGTAGCTGCCTCTGCTGGACCTGGATGTGCGTGGGAAAATGCACACTGTGAGGCCAGCTTCCACCAGTACTGGGCCTAGGGCAGGTCAGCAGAGGTCACAGGCACCTTGAGATCTGTTGCTGCCTGCCTGTTGCCTGTAAGGCTCAGTCTTTGAAAAGGCCTGGAGTGTCATGAGGGTAGGATGAATCATGTTTACCAGTTAAGCAGAGGCTCTGGGAGTCATGAGGGTAGGATGAATCATGTTTACCAGGTTCATCTAGATTCAGATATGGTGCTAGTGCTGAGCCTGAGGCCACTCATCAAATGTCACAGTGTACACTGAGGCCAGTCACTCATAGCCTGGAGCCTACAGACCTTTGTGGTGGGTTGGAGTCCCAGGGAGTCATCAGGTTGGAGCAAGTGGAGTTCACCAGATTCAAGTTCATGTGGGGGGAGGACTCAACACAAGGACAATGGTGACCCTCACTCTAAAGCCACAACAGCTCAGCTTTCTCCCTCTATGTCTCTGGTACCCTCTGAGCTTGACTGGAACTCCTGGAGAGTTCTGTGTGTGTGTGTGTGTGTTTTTTTAAAAATATTTTATTGATTTCAGAGAAGAAGGGAGAGGGAGAGAGAGCTAGAAACATCCATGATGAGAGGGAATCATTGATTGGCTACCTCCTGCACACCCCACACTGGGAATCGAACACAACCTGGGCATGTGCTCTGATCTGGAATCGAACCATGACCTCCTGGTTCATAGGTCGACACTCAACCACTGAGCCATGTCGGCAGGGCTATTGCAGTAATTTTAAAAGTAGTCTCCCAGCATCTGCCTTGTCCTCTGTTTATTTTCAAACATAGCAGAGTGATTCCATTAAATTTAAAGCAAATCATGTCAGCCTTCTACGAAAACTCTGTGATTTCTCATATATCTCAGAGTAAAAAACTTAAAATAAAAAGCAAAAAATCTTTAAATTGTCTATGAGACAATTACTGTGGCATACTTTATTCTTTTGATTCAATCTATTCTTCTCTAAACTCATTCCATTAAGACACTGATTTTTCTATTGTTTCTCAACTAGAGCTGGCATGCTTCCCTCTCATACCTTTTCAGCTCCCTGTTCTCTTTATATGACTGATTCTTACCCTAGAAATTTCCAGGCTTAGCCTTGCATCTCTTTCACGTATGCAAAAATATCACTTTCTTAAGGCGGCTGACTCTCCTTCCTATATATCCTTGATCTCTCTTATCCTCCATATATTTTTCATAACTCTTATCAGAATCTAGTAAACTCTACAATTTACTTATTATTTTTCTTGTATGTCATCTGCTTTTCTCCATAGAATGTAGTCTCTAAAAGGAAAGGGAGTTTTATTTTATACTGATATGTCTCAGATAATAGTACCTGCATTCAAAGAATATTTTTGTCATTGTTGAAAAAAATTATTTAAGGACAAGTAGTAAAATTCTAATGTAAATAGTTTGGCAAAAATTGTCAAAGATCTATGTGAATAACTGAAGTTTGGAAAATAGTTTTCATTGCCATTTCATTAGAATCATAATTATCAGCATCTCCTTTATGTATGTATTTTCAGGCCCCTGTTCTGATTTTTCATATTCCATCTTTCTGCTTCATTCTCATATGTGCTTCACTTACCGTTTCCTTCCATTTTTTTTACTGCCTCCTCTTCTATAACCTTTTCTAATACATCAAACCAATGAAAATTATCAAATGATTTTTTATTTCCTACTTTTTACAAGGCATTATGCAAGAGAAAGGTCTCTTTACATTTGCTTTATTTAGAATAACCCCGTAAACAATACATAGGTTGAGATGCATGATTAATCCACAATATATAATTCCTGACCCATCCCTCATAAGGGTCAGTGGCCCTAATCCAAGCATCTTCCACACCCTATATTTAGTGTGTTTGATTTAGCCAAGCTGTCACCCCCAAATATAGAAATATATTAGTAGAATAATATAATTCTATTATACTGATTTGGGAAGAATTTTTAGACATTATCTAAAACAAACTTCTCATTTCCTTCTCAGCTTAGGAAATGTAGGCACAAATTGTTACTAGCTTCCTAAAGTCACACGTAGTTAGTAATAATTCTAAAAGTCTTTACTTCCAGGAAATTGTGTCCATGATCATGATGTACTATCCTATCTAATAAAAGAGCAATATGCAAATAAACCATCACTCCATGACAAAGATGGTGGTGCCCACAGCACCCAGGGCAGGACGCTGGCAGTGTCACCACAGCAACGTGAGCCCAGCAGGCATTGCCACAGCAACCCGCGAGCAGGCAAGCGTGGCCCACAGGCAGCACCCAGCAGGGCCTGCTTGCCCGTGGCCATGGTGTGGAGCAGGCAGGCCCTGAAGAGAGGAGAGAACCATGGGAAGCAGGCCCAAGCCATCAGTAGGACATCCCCTGAGGGCTCCCGGATTGGAGAGGGTACAGGTCGGGCTGCGGGACCACTGCCTTTTGCATGAATTTTGTGCACCGGGCTTCTAGTGTGATATAAAATGTTAAATTGAGTCTTCATACTGTAAGAAGAAAGATTATTGAATTGAACTGACAACCAGAAAGTGCTTCTTTCTTTCTTTCTTTCTTTCTTTCTTTCTTTCTTTCTTTCTTTCTTTCTTTCTTTCTTTCTTTCTTTTCCCTTCTCTCCTTTCTTTCTTTCTTTCTTTCCTTTTTTTAAATTTTATTAATCCTTACCTAAGGATATGTTTAGAAAGAGAGATGGGGATAGAGATAGAAAGAGAGAGAGAGAGAAAGAGAGAGAGAGAGAGAGAGAGAGAGAGAGAGAGAGAGAGAGAGAATAAAACCTTAATTTGTTGCTTGTCTTATGTGCCCTGTCTGGGGATTAAACCCACAACCTTTTAGTGTATGGGAACAACACTCCAACCAGCTGTGCCACCCCTCCGGGGCCAGAAAGTGCTTTCAAGTCTAGTTCTGTCACTAAGCAGCTACGTGACTTCAGAGCAATTTCTCACCTAGCTAGGCTTCAATCTCCCTTTTTAAAAATAAAAGAATAGGATCAACTAGATATCCTCAAAAGGACTCTTTTGTGCTTACATTCCTTGTATATGATGCTTTATACTATAGCCTTGGAGAAAGAAAGAGGCTGAACCTGTAGTCTCTTCTGTTTTCTCAAAGGCACCGAGAAGTGAAATTTGATGTAAGTGCCTCAGCGAGTGTATGATGGGTAAGAAAGTAGGTAATTTATCCCTCTGACTGATGATTGTTTTGCAGAGTCTAAAAACTGGAATTGGCTCTCTGCAATTTTAAGGTCTTGCCTTCTTTACACAGTTAAACAGGAAGTACAAACAGATGAACAGAAGAGATCTGAGAAGCACCACCGCTTCGGTAATTGTTCAGACAGAGACCGCCCAAACAGAAAACACATGCTATTTCCCCTTCGCCTGACCAATTTGGCATTCAGAGTTCAAGATTACAGGCGAGGGGCTGGGCCTCTCCAGGCAGGAACTGGAGTCAGACGCTTCCCTGCTACTTGCTGGGAGAGAAGAACATTAGGAATGCCTTTCAGTGCCTGCGTTCCTGAACTGTCCCTTAGAAGCCTGGCAGCTCGGGGCAATCCAGCCACAGCTCACCGGCAACCTTGCAGGCGTCCTGATGCAGGCCAAATACTACAGCACGAACAACATGCTGGATGAGGAATGGGGCACCACCTTGAGCCTGCATTCTCAAGCCTCTACTCCAGCCCAGCGCCCGAAGCATGGGCACACAGGTACTCTGTCCTCTGGAGTCCAAATTGGCCAGACCCTTGAGAAATGCATGAGATAAGCTAACCTCTCCGAGGAATGTACAAAATAGGGGAAAGACAGGTGAATGTTTTCATGATTTACAATCATGTGAACTGTTCACTTTCCACCAGTTGTGTTCCACTTCCTTTAAGAATATCTGAAAAAAATTAAACTCAGTATATACGCAGATGTTTGTTGTTCTAGGATTCTCTTGCTGGCAGAGGGCTTTGCCGTTGAGGGTGTGTTGTTTTGACCAGTTAGGTATGTCATACGAAGTTGAGAATGTGTATACGAGTAAAGCGTTGTCCCTTCTCCTTCTCGCCATCCCACAAGGGCCAAATCCAATGCTGTTTTATTTACCATCTGTGATCTGCTCTGGAAAGTTCGATTTTTAAAGGCTACCTTTTGGTTAGTTTTGAACTCATGGCTTTGGAGGGAGTTTTCCAAGCGGATACATCAAACCTGGTGTTTTGCTGTAATTGTTCTGCACCGTGAAGTTGTGAGGCCTTTGGAGAGCCATATCAACATCAACTGTTTGGCTTTATTATCTGTGGAATGAAAGGGATTAAAGCAAATGCCTCTTAGGGTCTCTTCAACTCTGACATTCTGTGATTCAGTGATTTAAATGATGCCTTCAGGTGCAATTACATCCTATTTCTTCCTTCCCCTTTGTTCTATTGAGTTCCAGAATATTATTGAGATGATTGAATTGAATTATGAAAATATTTAATTTCAGTCACGTTTAGCTTCCATCTTATGCTTTTATTTCCAATAATTTACCCTGTGACATGTTAATAAAATATTTATTATATATATTTTTTAGTGTTAATATATATTTTTCAGTCCATAGAAGAGATAGTTCATATATTTAGAGAAGGATCTTTTTTGTTATTGTTGTTAATCCTCACCTGAGTTATTTTTCCATTTATTTTTAGAGAGAGTGGAAGGGAGAGGGAGGGAAACATCAATGTGGGAGAGACACATCGATGGATTGCCTCTCGCACTCAGGATGGCTAGGGCTAGAGAAAGGCCTTATTTCCCAGGCAACTCAGCCAATCTAAGGCAGAAATGTGTGTTGAGGTCTAGTGAAAAGGCCTCATACTGTCATGTAGATGAGACTAGATTTTAACACCTGGAAAGTCATTTACTAACTGTGTGATATTGGACATATTACTTAAGTATTCTAGGCCTCAGTTTCTTCGTTTATAAAATGCTAGTGGTGATAAATATGTAGACATTGATTATTATGTGCCTGGCATTGTTTTAAGTGCTTTATACATATTACTGTTATTTCATATGAACTTATAACAAAGTCACATAGAAGTAGCAAAACCTCTCTTATAAGGTGGCTGTTAGTACTAAGGTTGATGAGCTGTGCAAAGTCCTCGGTACACTGCAGGCATGCCAAACATGTGAGGGTTTTTTCTTTCTTTCTTTTTACTAGTCCATTCCTGGAGAATTCCTGAAGTGTTTGTTTAACATTTTTGTGTCAGTCTGTATCAGAGAGATCCTCGTTCAAAGTCTGGATGTGAACGTGCCCTCCCTCTCTCGACCATATCCAGGTTCTCTTCCCTTTTGTGAATCTGGGCACACACCTTTCCCCTGCTCTCTTCCATTTCTCTTCATCTAGATTTTCTTCCTTTCCCCTCTGAAGTTTTCCATTCACTTTCTATTTACGGAATGACCTGCCTCACGAGACTCACTGATGTGGCTTCCCGTAACCTGTGAGGGGAGACGGGGATTTCCAGCCTCCTTGTAAAACACAGTGGTGCCTTTGGGATGTCAGTCTCTGCGGCCCCTGGATATGTGCCATAGGATAGGATGTGTTTTCCTCCAACAGATCCTGTGAAGAGATAGATGGCCCTCAGGGCCGTGGTTTTTAAGTGGCTTGTGTTTAACTTCACTTTTCACCTTTGACAAGAGCCAGGAACTCTCACAGGATCAGTGATCAGCATAATCAGGAACAGGGTGTACAAATAAATTCTCTTGGGCTTGGAGGCTGGAGCGGGAAGGGTAAGGAATAAAATACTACTGAAACATCTGGCAGCTTCTTTGTAAGAAGTGGAAATTGAAACACTAAGAGTAGGGGCTCAAAGCAGTGTCCTCCAGGAAAACGTCTGAAAATAGTTATTTTCCCGATGTGTATGATGTCTTGTTTTCACCTTGTGATAATGCAGACATTTAGAGCGATGTCCCAAAAGAAGTCTAATTATTTCTCAGGAAAATAAGTTTGAAATATTTTTGCTCTTAAAAAAACAGAGTAAAAATCACTCTGGGATTTTTATTTTTTGGCAGTGCAGATGATTCAGATTCCACATCATTTATGGCAGAATTATAACTGGAATATTTTAGAATTAACAAAAATAAACAATATACATTCATTTATTTTCTAAACTTTCATCTTTTCAATATAAAGTTATGTATTTTTCCCCTGAACAATTAGAAAGATAGAAAGCAAAGATATAAGGTAATACCCCCATGCCTTCTTCCCACAAGTTATATTGAGGGTTATGCTACCCTAGGCCTGTTGAAAAGTACAGGATATAATGCCAAATATAATATGATCTCTGTTTATGAGGAAACTTAACGTCTAATACAGTTCTCAACTCAGCAATAACTGTGGTAAGTGCCATGATGAAAGCATTCACATGGTACAATGGAGACCTTGGTTACCTCTATCGGGTAAGGGTCAAAGGGATCAGGAAAGTTTTGAGGGAGGGAGAGACCATTGAGTTGAGTTGACTTTAAGATGTTCCTCATGATGCGGAAGCAGAAATGGGAAGGTTTAAGAGGCTGGGGGCCTTACAGGCAGACAGACACATGATAGAAAAGCCAGGGAGTCTTCAATAACTTTGTTTTTCAGAGAACTCTAAGCAATATATTATGGCTCACATGTGAAGTTGTAGGGGGGAAGCTTATCAGAGGTTTAAGTCTGGAAGGGTAAGGAGGGCCTATTGTGTCATACGGAGGTATTTTGATTCTATTCAGTAGGTAAAATGAGTTAACTAAAGGATCTAAACAGGTAGTAACATAATCAATTTTGTGTTTTTAGAAGACCATCTAAGTTACAATGAGGAGGATAGATTGAAGGAGTATAAAATTGGATGAGCTGATACAGATTTTGCACTAGTATGAGCATGGGATTTGGGAACCTGAACTGAGGTAGTACAGGGATGAGGAGGCAGGATCAGATATGAAAGATGTTAAGGAGGTAGAATTTAAATAATTGGTGACAGGTTACAAGTGGGAGGACAAAGGGAGAGCATAGGTTGACTAAGTTCCATCTGATAGTATGTTGGTGATGCTGCCATTATCTGAGATGGAAACTGCAGAAAGAATAGGAAAGATAATGAATTCAGTTTGAGTCTGAGATGCCTAGATGAAAAGGGACATGCAGTTGGTGTTGCCCAAAGACACGTGC